TGTCGATCCCTTCCGCAGCGCAAAAAAGATTTTCAAGAATACGATGAGGCGGGTGAACAACACTGCAGGTCTCCTTTTCGCCACCACTGACGTCAACAACATCGCCAGAACATGTCCCGATGGCTTGGCGGGTGGACGTGCAGCGAAGCGACTTCGCATCTTTTTTATCGCAGAACATGCCGGGGAAAGTGGTGGGAGTTTCCTCCGAGCACGGCTTCGTCAGGAACTCGCAGCCGGAGTTGTTGCCCCACACCATCGGCTCCTCCATCCCCCACACGGCCTTGTAGTAGCCGAGGTCCTCAAACGCCGCCATCGTCAGCGCAGTGTAGTAGCCGGCGGCTTCCTTACCACGCAGGCTCATCAACTCGTCCTTCGCGTTGCGCAACGACCACAAGTACACCCCATCATGATTGTTCAGCTCTATGCCCGGGGTGGTGTCGCAGCCGTAGTGCAGCTTCGCCTTTCTCAAAGTCACAGGTGACTTCACCACCGTCACAGGAGAGGTGCCGCCGCGCACACCAGTCACGCTCAACAGCATGTCGTGCTTCTGCATCTGTTCCATGCTGAAGCCAAGAGTAAGGGCAATTGCATGCGCAGTGGTGCGAGCAGAGTGCATGACGGGAAGCGCATGAAAAGGCATAATATGCAGGGCACCGGCAATTGGACGACCGTCATTCCCGAACATACACGGGACAGCCCACGTCCCGTAATTCGACCTGGAAGCCACGTAGAGCACCATGTCCGCGTCCGTCACTCCCGTCTTCTGATGCGACTCGGGGACCTTGAAGTATTGGCAGTTCCCCTCCTTCTCTGTGAACGGCAACACAACAAACGGAGTCTTCACGCGCTGAACGAGCAAACGCTCCGCGTGCAGTCCGACGGCCACAGGAAGAATCTCATCCACCAGGGTTTTTATCATCTCCGAGGTCAAAACCTCATCCTCCGTGCACGATGAATTGTTTCCCCTGAAGTCCAGCTTTGCTTCACCTTCTTTGGTGCAGTACTTATTGGTGTCCTTCAAATCCTCCGTGGACACCGCGATGCGGATGGGCGCCCAGTCACTCTTGTCCTCCCCCGCTGCGGCGACGGTGTACGCCTGCGTTGCGCCCTGCCCCTTGCGCGGCAGCTCACGCACCATCGCGGTCGGCGGCCGGCCGCTCTCCCAAAACACCTCGTCGAAGGCACGGCGGTGGGCGGCGGCGAGGCAGCCACCTGCGCCGTACATTAACAGCAGTAGGAACACTGCTAGTGAAAGAAACGGCGTGGCGTGGAGTCGACGGCGCATGGCGTGAGGTAAGAGTGTATGTGTGCTGGGTTGTTGCAAATAACCGTATTAGTAGCACAAAGCTTGTCCGCAGCAGAAGAAGAAAAAGGGAAGGGCGGGTGCAGTTGCAAAAATGAAAATAGCAGAATGGGGAACTATAAAAAAGAGACCGCGAACCAAAACGACGAGGGCTTTCGCACCTCCACTTCCGCACAATCGTCCCGTCCTCCACACACACACACACGCAAATGTATATTTCCCCTTTTTATTGGGTGCAGGGCCGCGGCGGACACGCACAGAGGACGCATCCCCTCGCCATACGCCGACGCCCCCCGAAGCAAAACACACAAAAAAAGCAAAGAGATGGGTACAACTGAGGCGCGTCCTTCATTCACGTTTTTTCCCGCAGAGGGACCCCTTCTGCCGTACCGCCGCCAGTCCTCCCTAAGCAAGAAACAAAAACATAACCCCCTCCCCCCAAAAAAGTTTTTTTTTAAAAAAAACATATTAAAACAAAAACACGGTTCATCCACAACACACTAACTGCGGCTGCCAACAGCGACACGCAAGCGGGGAATGGGGCGACGTCCGTGCGGTGGGTCCATCACCTGAGGAAGAAGTGGTGCACGCCCTCCCGCTCCCACAAGATACGTTTCGCAGGGCACGGGCCTCGAGGTCTGCGACGGAGGAGGCGCGCCAATGCCCTCCTGCACGCCGTGATCCCGGCAGACTCTTACAGCGGCACCACGGATGCAATACCCGTAGCCACCACAAGTAACAACACTGCACAGGAGCGAACAACAATGGCAACGGCACCGTCTTTGTGCTTTCCGGGCGTTGACACTTTTGCCCTCCGCTCAGCGTCACTGGAGCGGGCCCCAGACAACACACCGGGTGACGCGGGTATGAAGGAGTCGACCCCAGTGGCCGCGCTGCCATCTTTCTTCTGGCGGCCGCCATTGTCATCGTCGTCAGGGTGGGGCGTGACAAGGCTGCTGCCGTTGGCGGCGATGGTGCACACCTCCTCGTACCTCGGGCAAATGATCCTGCCACCGTCCTTGAAGTTCTCTGATTTGGGCGTGATAGACTTTCCCTCGGGGCACTCGTGCCACTC